CCGCCGAGGGGGCTGGGTGCGCGGACGCCGGCCCGCAGGGGCCTATTTCCCTGGAATGATCCATCCGGAGAAAAGTCCCAGCTGCGCAGCGGCGGCAGGGACGTTCCTGGCACAGGCGCGGACGCTCTGGCAGGCGCTGCAGGCCGCGGAGGATGCGATCCACGCCCGGGGGCAGCAGGAGGGGTGTCCTCGGCCTGCCGGCCCCAGCCTCCTGCGCGGGGCGCTCCGCTCTCCCGGGAGCCTCGCCCACACCCCCGCCTGCCACGGCAGGGGCCTTCCAAGCTGAGGCGGCCTGCTGGCGCCCGCCCTGCTGGCCTCCTCGCGCCTCCTCGCCCCTGGCCACGCCCCACCCCTGCAGCGCCCCTGGTGAGGGCAGGACCCGCACCCGAGACACTGGCCTCCCCTCCCGGGAGCGGGACCCCAGGCGCAGAGCCCAGTGCGCGGGGCCTGGCCCCTCTCCCGGTGACCCCAGCGCAGAGCAAAACCGTGTCCTGCGGCAGCTCTCAAATGTGGCCACACACAGGCCAGTCTCCCGGGGGGCCGGGGGCGACTCCCATCTGGGGCTCGACTCCCCAGTGGACCCGGGCCCCCCTCCCAGCGGGGCCGGCTCCCTGCTACCCACCTAGTGCCTAGAACACCCGGAGCCTGCTGGACCCCCACCCGTGCCCACCAAGCCCTGGGCCAGTGGACAGAGTGGGGGCTGCGCTCAAGGCCTCTGCGCACCCCACAGTGGCCCACACCAGAGCGCGCATGCGCATGTGTGTGCACAGGGGAGTGTGCACGTGACGCTTGGTGCTCTCAGCCCGCTGCACCCTGGCCCTGGCCTGCACGGTGGCCGAGTGTCAGGAGCGCAGCTACACGGACCCGGGGCCGCACCGGGCCCCGCCCTCTCCGGGGAACGGCGGCCCTGGGGAGCAGCCCCGGCTCCCACCCACCCTGAGCGGCCGGAGGAGCTGCCCAGCACCCTTCCCTGCACACCCAGGGTGTCATCCCGAGGGCGGGAGAGCGTGTGTGTCTGTCCATGCACACCTGTCCCTCGTGGGAGTGTGGCACGTGCAGAGCACACAACAAAAGATGAAAGCAAAAGGCAAGAGGTTCCAGGAGCGGGGTCTCCCTGAGAGAGCCCGTGGCCCAAGGTTGCGCCCCGACAGCCCCAAACCTGCTCCGACTCTGCCGAGCAGATTCTGGGAATGTCGTCCAGCAGGGCATGTGCCAACCACAGCTGCTAGGGTCTGCCCGTGTGCCCAGCAGTGGGTCCTCCGCGGCCCTCACCAGCGTGCACGAATCCGGCGCGGCGACTGGCTCCTGGGGGCACCTGCAGCTGGGAAGCCCTGCATGCAGCACCGAGCTATGTGGGGGTGCTGAGCCTGTCCTCAGAGTCAGAGCAGTCACACTTGGGGGTCAGTTTATGGGAGCCCGGCCTGGCCAGATGGGCACTTCATCTCCACCCCACCCACCCATCTTGGGGGCCAGTGGGAGGGCACCCCATGAGAACGGATGCCAGCACCCCCAGGCCCACTCTCACCCTCCCTTCCAGGCCGCAGAGAGATGTGGAAGGTAGCCCGGGCGCAGCCCTGCTGACCTGGGACGGCAGACCCCACCGAGCTCCGGGGCCACTTGCAGAGCCCAGCCCCAGCCCGCCGGTGAGCAAGCCCCAGGCCGCAGGAGCCCCACGGGGGCGGGGGGGCAGCTCGGCCACCGCCAAGGGCAGCTGCATCTCCACTTGCTGACTCTGGCACCGTCCTCTGCTTCCCATGGGGGGGCCTCCCCACAGCGCGTCGCTCATGGCGGCAGGGCAGTGGCTCCGCGGAGGACCGGTGGCGGTCAGCTGCAGCTCCACGGCCCGGGGCGCAGAGGACGCCTCAACACCTTCAGGAGTAGCCCCACTGGTAGACGACGGGCCACGCGCGGACCCTGCGGATGCTGATGTCACTTGGGGAATGCCCGGGAGGGACTGTCAGCAGGAGGAGGAGGCTCCTTGGCTGCTCCAGCCCAGGCTGGGTCACCAGTCAGCACCCCAAGGCCTCCACCTCCTGCCCTCCCCGTCAGGGGTGAGCCTGGGACTCAGGCTGGAAAGCTCTGAACCCCCCAGGGGAGCCCTCATCCCCACCCACCAGGGCTGTCAGCTCAGGTGGGGCAGGTACAGGGCCCTGGCGCAGCCTGTGCTGGAGGCTGGGCCCCTGGGGAGGGGGCTGGGAGGAGGCTGGGGCTTACCTAAGAAAGGGGGGAGGCCCCGCCCCCAGTGACCACCCCAGCCCCAGCGGGTCCTGCTCCTCCCCCTGCCCCACCTCCCCAACCTGGCCCAGACCCCCAGCCCCTCCCACTCAAGAGGGACCAGCCAGGGACTGGGGGGGGGGGGGAGGCCAGGCCCAGCCGGCACCCCTGACAACCAGGCCCCAGGGGCTACTTCCCAAACTCTGCCCCTTTGGCCCAGCCCCAGCCCCAGGGCGCCCCTTCTCAGTGCCAGCGTGTGCTGCAGGCCGGTGGGAGGTGGTGTCCCCCGCAGCTCCTCCAGGCCCCCGGGGGGAGGGTCCCCGGGCAGTCCCCCTGGCTGACTCAAGGCAGGGCCTCCTTCCGGGGGCTCCCAGCACCTGCTCCTGCACCCGCCCCACCCAGCACCTGCGCCCACGCGTCCAGGGCACAGCCCGGGGTCAGGTGCCTGGAACTCCTCCCCAAAGCCGGGCTGCAGGGAGGAGCGGGGCACAGAGGGGAGGGAACCGCCAAGGTCGCACTGGAGAGCCCAGGCCTGACCATCCTGGGGCTCCAGCCCTAGCCTCCTGGGCGCAGGGCAGCCCTCAGGGACGGTAGGGGCTGGCAAGGCAGGCCTTAGGCACCGCACGGGGGTTGGCAAGCAGAGAAGGGGCAAGGGGGAGCAGCCAGAGCAAAGGCTGAGGGGAGAGGCGGGTTTGCCCTTGAGTGGGGTAGCAGGGAGCCTGGCAGGGGTGCTGCCCTGAGGGGACTGGTGGGGAGGGGGAGACTGACGGGGGCAGGAGTTGGGGGGCACCTTGGCTTTGTGGTCTGGGTTTTGGTTCCAGTAGAGGGGCCTGCGTCCAGATGCTGCCACAGGCCACCAGTGCCCTCCCGCCCTGCCGCCGACCCTGTGCCCAGGAGGGTCTGTGGTGTGCCCACCCTGACGGGGTGGCAGAACTACCAGGGCCTCTGCTTTGACAGCGGAGGCTGCCCAGCTGGACGCCCAGCCAACTGCATGCAGGGGGCGTCCGGGTCCCGAGGTGCTCCCCTCCGCCCAGCCCGGCCCGGCCCCTCTGCCCTTCCTGCGTCCCGCCTGGAGGTGCCTTAGACTGGGGGGGGCTCCGGGCTCAGCATCCTGCTGGGGCTCCCGTTTGGCTGCGGGGGAGGGTGACTCGGGAACTCTTCCACCTGCTGCACCCCTGCCCTCGCACGCGCTGCACTAAAGCGCCTTCCCACCAACGGCCTCGCGCTCTAGTGTGCTTTGCCCTGAGGTGGTGGCGGACACTACTTAGAACAGGCAAGTTTGAGGGTTCTGGGGTGCCCCCACCTGCCCTGTAACAAAGGGACCCTGAGCAAGTGTCCTCCCAGGAAAACAGATGGAGTCGCTGGGAGTCTGCAGGGGTGAGTAGAGGAGGGCCCCAATGTTGCCCCCCAGGGGTCTGCAGAGTGCAGCCCACTGCGGGGATGGAGCCAGGTGAGGTGGGGGCTGGGAGTGCGGGTCCCCCCCACACCCCAATGTCCAGCTGCCTTCAGTTCTGCACAGCTCCTCAACCACAGTGGGGCTTCTGTGAGGGCCCCTGAACTTGGGGTGAATGACCTGCCCCATGCCTTGTGGCAACCCGATCCTGCCTGTGCAGGACTGAGAGGCGCGGGGGTTGCCCCCACTCCCAGCTGGACAGTGCCAAGGGGATGTCCGACCTGCTGGCAAGCGCCAGGGCCCCAGTCAGCGCCCCCGTGCCACCCCAGAGCAAGCAGAGACGCGCCGCCAAGGCCCCTGGCCCGGAGCCTGGCCGAGGCTCCCTGGAGCCGGGTTCCCGCTCGGGCCGGGCTTCCCACTGCCGCCCGTGGTCCCCTCAAAGGGGCACCGCCTGTGGGTGAGCTGCCCCGTGCCCCCTGGCCATCAGGAGTGCTGGGCTGTCCCCCCACCCAGTGGCCTCCCACCCCACTTTCCCGCCTTCCTGGAGTTTGGAGGGCCCCCTTCCCGACCCCCCAAACAGGGAGCAGGAGGCCCAGGGGTAAGGAGGTGGCCCTGAGGCTCCCGCTTGGTGGAAGGGGGGACGTTGTGGGCCTCTGAGGCCCCGGGCCCGGCCCAGGCTTCTGGGAGCCCCATCCCCCTTGGAGTGCGTCCCGGCCCCCCAACCGGGAGTCTGTGAGGGCCTCGGGTCTCAGCCACAGGGAGCCTTGGCCGCAGCTGGGGCTGGGAGGGGTTCGCTGCACCCCCAACCCACTTAAAGAACTTTCCGCGCGGGGCTGGCGGTCTTGGGGCGCGCCGGTCCCCGCGGGCGTCCGCGCAGGGCGCCTCCTTCCCGCGGCGGGAGCCCCGGGGATCACGTGGCGGGCGCAGCCCCGCGCCGACCCGCGGGGGGGGGGGGGGGGGAGGGGGGGAGGGAGGGGGCCGGGCGGCCGGGGCGGGGCGGGGCGGCCGGGCGGGACGCGCCAGCCGGGATTCCCTGCCCGCGCCCGGCCGCCCCAGCCTCCAGCCGGCCGCGAGCCTCGCGCCCGCCGCGCCCCGGACCCGGAGCCCCGGGGAGTGCCCGCCCCGCCCCGGCCCGCGCCCCCTCCCCACCCCGTCCGGGAACCCGCGCCCGTCGTCCCCTCGCGGCCGGGACTGGGCTCAGCCCGCACACCCCGCGCCCCAGCGGCCGCCTTGGGGCGCCTGCACCCCGCTTGTCCGCGCGCTTGCGGCCCCAGGACGCAGCCGGCGCGGGCACCGGAGCGCGGCCCGGAGGCAGCACCCGCCCGCCCGGCGCGACGCCCGCGGGCACTTCCAGGTCTGTCCCTCCCCGCAGGTCACGGCCGCGCCCGGGAAGATGTACCCGAGCCTGGCCCCGGCGCCCGGCCCCGGCCAGGCCGCCTACGCCGACCCGGGCGCCCTGCTGCACGCGCCGGCCGCGGGCCCCGCGGTGCTCCCCGCGCGCGCGCCCCCGGGGCGGCCCTACCTGCCCGCGCGGGGCCCCGGCCCGCGCCCCGCCGCGCTCGCGGCGCCCCCCGGCTGGGCGCCCGCCTTCGGCCCCGGCAGCCCGCACCCCCCCGCCGCCCCGCCGGGCGCCCCCGCCTTCCCCGGCGCGCTGCTCGCCCCGGACCCGCTCCCCGCCGCGCTCGGGCGGCCCGCGGGCGCCCCGTACCCCGCCGCCCGCCCCGCCTACGTGAGCGCCGAGGCGGCCCCGTGCTGGGCCGCGGGCGCCTTCGAGGGCAGCGTCCCGCACGGCCTCCAGGGCGCCGGCCCCGCCGGCCCGCCCCGCCGCGGAGCCTCGCTGGGTGAGTGCGGGGCGCTGGGTGGGTGCGGGGCGCCGGGTGGGTGCGGGGCGCTGGGTGGGTGCGGGGCGCTGGGTGGGTGCGGGGCGCTGGGTGGGTGCGGGGCGCCGGGTGGGTGCGGGGCGCCGGGTGGGTGCGGGGCGCTGGGTGGGTGCGGGGCGCTGGGTGGGTGCGGGGCGCTGGGTGGGTGCGGGGCGCTGGGTGGGTGCGGGGCGCTGGGTGAGTGCGGGGCGCTGGGTGGGTGCGGGGCGCTGGGTGGGTGCGGGGCGCGGCGGCCCAGACCCCCGTGGGGATACCCCGCAGGGCTGTCCCACCGCAGCCCCTCCGGCCGGTTCTTTGTTTTCCCGCCTGGTAAGCAGGGGGGGCGGTTCCTTCGCACAACCCCACCCGGATCCGCAGCTCCGAGCCGCGTCGTCAGCTGCATGAAAAGTTCTGGAAATTATTTTTATAAAGTTCAAGACGCCGCCGCGCTGCCGCTGTGGGGAGGGTCACCTGCTCCGAGGCCTGGTTTCAACTCCCCTGGGGTCTGAGCTTGGCTGATGGGACTCCAGGCCCCGGAGGGACTGCTCCCCGCTTCCTGAGTAGTTGGGGCCTCGGGGACCCCATTCTCACCCCGCACCCAGCAGAAAGCCAAGGCCCTGCTTTTGTGTTTGCCGCCCCGGCCCCTGCCCCCAAGCCGGCCCTCCCTGGGAGCGCGTGGTCTGGGCCCTGCAGCCCCTGGACGCAGGAAGCGGGTCCTGGCCGGTCCACGGGGGCAGCTCCCTCCGCTCGGCGCCCACCAGGCCGGAGCGATGACCGAGTCCAGCCCCACCCCCACTGGCGCCTCTGCTGCCTGCGGGTTGCTGCTGGTGCCTGGCCAGACCCGAGAGGGTTGGGGGGCCCCTGCACCCCAGGTGCGCCACCCGAGTGGGCAGCACAGGCCCAGCCGCGAAGGCTGGCCGGGAGGATGGTGGTGGCGACACAGTAGGAGGGACCCCAAGTCCCCAAAGGTGCTGGCCCGAGGTCAGCCTGCCACCCCACCCCCACCCCCTGCCTGGCAGAGGACGGGGCCGGCAGGGTGGGGTGGGTGGACAGCGCTGGACCGTGTCCCCTGGCTCGCTCGCTCCCCTGGCCAGAAGAGTGAGCGAGAGCCGGGCCCAGCAGAGGGGTGGGTCCCACTGCCTGCCGCGGGGTCCCCTGTGAGGGCTGCCTAGGAGTCTCCCCCACCAGCCCGGCCTACTGTGTAGAAACCGAAAATAAAGACGAGATGAGCTCCCATAAGCGGCTTGCAGAGCAGGGGTGTGGGTGGGGGGCCGGGGGGGGCGGCCCGGCCCACGCGCTGCCTCGCCCGCAGTGTCCGGCTTTCTGGAGGAGCTCCCCGGCGAGGGCCGCGAGTGCGTCAACTGCGGGGCCCTGTCCACACCGCTGTGGCGCCGGGACGGCACCGGCCACTACCTGTGCAACGCCTGCGGCCTCTACCACAAGATGAACGGGGTCAACCGGCCCCTGGTGCGGCCACAGAAGCGCCTGGTGAGTGGGCGGGCGGGGGACAGGCGCCCAGGACTGGCCGGTGGGGACAGCTCCCGCCTGCTCTGGTCCCGGGCAGGAAGGGACAAGGACAGGCCGCGCAGCGCCCAGCTTGGAGTCCGCTGCATCTGCGGGGGCAGGAGGCCGGGACCTGGCTGGCGGGGGGCGCCGGGACTGGCCTGGCCCGGCGGCGGGGGCCAGGGCATGGCGGAGGCCCTGTGCGGGGCTGGCACGGCCTCGTTTTCCCTTTGGGTTCCTCTCGCGCGGGGCCGGGCCGGAGCCCGCTCTGCAGAGGGCAGAGTCCCTGGCGGCGCCCTGGCTCTTTGTTCTGCGCGGGGCTCCGGCAGACCTCGCGTCTCGTTGATTCGTGAATGAGGCTGGACGTGCCGGGCCAGGGCCGGGCAGGGCTGCCTCTCTGGGCTGCGGGGCCCTGCCTGAGCCCGCCTGACCACAGCGGGGCCGGCGGTGGCTCTGAGCAGGACGCGGGGCGGGAGCAGCCTGGCCTACAGCTGACGGGGGCGCCGAGCCACGGCCGGCAGCTCCTGGGCCCGCCCTGGGAGGCCCCAGCCGGCCGCGGGAGTCAGGCTGCTTCCCTTGCTTTGATCTGACCTGGAGTTGGGGCTCAGCCAGGCCCCTGGCCTCTGCGCTCCATCCAGGCCCCGCCTGTCAGAGGAAGGGACCCTCAGAGTCCACATGTCCCTTCAGCCGCGCCTCTGCCGGGACGCACCCCCTCCTGGGAGGCTGTACCTGCCCGGTGCCTGGTGTCACCCTCGCTGATGGGGACACAGGCCACGAGGGGAGGGGTCCCGGGGCCGCCTCCCAGCCCTCCCACTTCGGGTAGTAGCTGGGCCTCCTGGTGCGCCCCTCAGGCAGGCCGGTCTGGCAGGCCCCAAACTGGTGGACGAAGAGCAACTGGTGCCCTCCTCGCCCTGCCCCACCCCCGCAGGGCTCACCCCAGCAGGGGCACCACTGTGAGCGCCTCCCCTCAGCGCTGGCAGCGGGTCAGACTGCAGCACCCCCGCTCTGAGCGCAGACCCCAGGCTCAGAACCCTGAGCCCCCACTCACGCTGGGACCCGCCCGGCCGCCACGGGCCCGCTCGTCTCCCCAGGCCCAGGCTGGCGTCAGGGTGGCCGGGGCTCCCAGCAGGCTGTCAGGCTCAGCCGCTGTGGACGTCTGCCCCTGCCCTCGAGGCCCCCCACCCCCGCACCCCTCGCCTCGCTGTGGAACTAAATCCCAAGATTCTCAGAAACTCCTGAGACCAGAGTGGGGTCCACCTGGCTCCAGGCCTGGGGGGCTCGGGGAAGGACCCCCAGCTGGCCCCCTGGCCTCATTCTCTTGAATGTGTGGCCAGAACCAGCACCCCACAAGGGCCGGGGCCCTGGAGGAGATCGTGCAGCCCTGTTAGGGGACGGCAGCCCCAGCAGCTGTACCCCACCATGTCAGGCTCAGGTGCTGCCCCTCCACCCTGGCCTCCTGCCAGTGTAGACAGCAAGCCGGGTACTTGAAGGGCTCCCCGGGTCCCCACGTGCCGGCTCGTCTGCCCGCCCCATACCTGGCACAGCCCGCCCTGACCTGGGGCCGCAGGACGGGGGTGGACGAGCCCATGTCCACGGCACCTTCCAGAGCTGGGTGGACCAGCCGACGTCGGCTGCGCTGGCTGCCGAGCGCTGACCCCCAGCCTCTCCTCCCCGCCCCGGCCCTGCCTACTCGGGGCAGGCAGCAGCCAGGAGGGTGCCCCACTGTGCCCCCCAATTTCTTAATTTTTATTTAATTTCCGATCTGTTGTTTCCTTTCTGGCTGAAGCAGCATCGCGGAGCCCTACTTCAGGCGCGTGCTGTGCCCTCCCCATGAGGTCTGTGCTCACTGGGCTCCGGCCTGCTGGTGCTGTCCTGCCCGAGGGCTGGCAGCCTGGGTGCTGGGGTGAGGCCCGCGGGCGGCCTGAGCAGAGGATCCCGGGCATGGGGTGGGGTGTGAGCTCCAGGGGCGCCTGCAGCAGGCACCTGGCTCTCCCAGGGGCTTCAGGAAGGGGTGGGCTGCAGGGCTGCGAGGCCCCCGGGCCCCGATGGGGGCAGGGCTGGACAGAACTGCGGGGGGGGGGCACCCAGAAGGCAATTGGAAGGGAGGGGGCAGGGGAGCCTCGAGTCAAGTCCAGTAAAAGCAGCTGCCTCTGGAAAAGGGCGGGGGGTGGGCACAGTCACCTCGGGAGGCCTCAGGGGGCCTAGCTGACTTGGGGACCAGGGGTTGCCCCGACTGCTGCCGCCACCTCCCCCCACCGTGCTGGGTGCCACCGGCTCACTCCTGCTGTGAACGCCCCCCGGGCTGCTCCAGGGAGACCCCTGGACATCTCTGAGGGGCTGGCGGGAGGCTGTGGGCCTGAGCGCACACTCCCTGCACCCCCACTCCCCCGGCCTGTCCCCCCTTGTCTTTGGCCCTTCTGTCCTGGAGCCCGGGCAGAGTCCTGGGGCCCAGCCTAAGGCTGGGCAATTTTTTTAGATTTATCTTTGCGTAGAAGAGCTGGGGTGCAGACCAGAGGTGCAGGGGTGAGAGACTCCCCAGGGACAGAGTGGGGAGCAGAACAGGAGGACTGACTGAAATCCAACCTTGAGGGGGCAGCGGGGAGACAGCAGGGGGTAGGAGACATTCTCTGGAGCCTGCGGCCCAGGGAGGGGTCGGTGGGCCCGCTGGGAAGGTTGGGGAGAGCTGGGGAGAGCAGGGAGCACCCAGACAGCCCCCATGCTCTCGGGCCATTCACGGGGGCGGGGCTGTGCCCGGCCAGCTGCCCACTGCCCAGGGGGGCGGCAAGGCTGGCCATCAGGGTGACTGTCGCTGGAAGGGATGGAGCCTGCTGGCAGGTGGGGCGCCGAGGCCACCGCTGTCTGCTCACCCCCACTCCAGGACCGTCTGTGGTGGCTGGCATGGCTGCCTTCCCGGGCCCTCAGCCGGGCGTCAGCTGCGAAGGGCACACTCGTCTGGGGACGACTTTGAATGTGGGGTCCTGGTGAGCTCCTGGGGTGCCCGCGGCACACACTGACCCGGAGTGTCCCGGTGCCGGGGGCCAGCTAGGACCTGTGTCCCTGTGGCCGAGTGAGGGGCCAGGGACTCGGCCCAGGTGGAGCTGTGCAAAAGCAGGACAGGGCAGGCGGCCAGGGGCGCTGGAGAGAGAGCGCTGAGGCATGGAGGGACAGGCCTGGGGGCGGGCGGCCCAGGAGGGTGCTGGCAGCAGGTGGCCATGGGACTCGGGCCGCACAGAGCACCTGGGGCACCCAGGCTGTGGCGGGCAGAACCCACGCCTGAGCTGTGGGGACCCCGGGCACTCCCCGACCGGCCAGTCATGCAGCCTCCCAGGCCTGCCAGGTCCGGACTCCGGAGCCTCTGACGTGCCGTCCCCGGGCTCCTGGACTTAGAGCTGCCCGGGGCCTCACAGGCCCGCAAGCGGAGCACGGTTTGGGGCCGCTGGTCAGATGTGGGCATGCCCGGCTGGGGGCCAGCCCTGCTGGGAGGCCCGGGGAGGAGGTAGGCTTCTGGAGGGTTCTAGATGTGTCCAGTTACTCTGATGTGGGGCGCAGTGAACAGCAAAGGGGAGATGCGGGCAGTGGGCTGTGGAGAGTGGCCAAGCTGAGCACCTGCCTGAGCCCCACTCTGGGGCCAACAGACCTCTGAGTCCTCAGCCCCATGGCACCTGGGGTGGGGCCGGGGAAGGCCCAGTGTGGCAGCTCCACAGAGGCCACAGGAAAACAGCTGCCTCCCTGCTGGGCTCTTCACCTGGGGTGCAGCCACTGTCACCCCCTTTTACTGATGGGGAAGCTGAGGCCCCGAGGCCTGGCCCAGGGCCCAGAGGCTGCGAGAGGAAGCGTCCAGAGTCCCCGGAGCCGACCTCCCGCCACGGGCCCCAGCCCCACTGGGCCAGCCCCAGTGCTGCCCCGGCTGTGTCCAGTCCCGAGTGGCCCCTTCTCGGCCACGGCTGTGCAGAGCCCAGCGAGGCCCAGCCCGGGCTCACCCCGGCCTCCGTCCACAGTCCTCCTCCCGCCGCGCCGGCCTCTGCTGCACCAACTGCCACACGACCAACACCACGCTCTGGCGGCGCAGCGCGGACGGCGAGCCGGTGTGCAACGCCTGCGGCCTCTACATGAAGCTGCACGGGGTGAGCTGGGGCGGGGTGGGCCGGGCCAGGCCGGGCCTGGTGGGGGACAAAGCCTGGGTGGGGCGATGGGGAGGGGCGGGGCTCGGGGCATGGCGGGGCTCGTGGGGCAGAGGCTGGCGGGGTGCACTGATGGGGGTCAGGGCTGGCCAGGGCAGGGTCGGGCTGGCTGTCCTCTTAGATGCCACGTGGCCAACCACGATGCCACATGGGCTGGGGCGGGAGAACAGGGCTGCCCCGGGCACGCGTGCTCCCCACATGGCCCCGATGAGTGCCCTGCGCTGTCACTGCTGGACGCACAGTCCTGCTGGGCGCGCAGTCCAGTGGGACACACGGTCCTGCGGGACACATGGGGTCCTCCCGCACAGCTGCGTCCCCTCGGCCCCTGTCCTGGCGGAGGCCTCGGGCTCCTGGCACTGAGTGGGCTGCGCCTCCCGCGCCTCCTGGAGGGAGAAACAAGCCAGGTGGCAGCTCACCGGCGGGGCTGGCCCAGGAGTGCAGGTGGCCACGCAGGAGACCCCGGGAGCCGGGCAGGGCCACCCACGCACCCCTGCCCGCCGCAGGTCCCGCGGCCGCTGACCATGAAGAAGGAGAGCATCCAGACAAGGAAGCGGAAGCCAAAGAGCGTGAGCAGCACCAAGGGCCCCTCAGGTGCGTGGGGGCCCAGCCCCCACCCTGGGCCCCCCTGTGGGGCCCAGGGTCCCCCATGGAGTCAGCGCAGTGTCTCAGATCCCACCATCAGAGAGCGCCATGCTGGGCAGGCGTGTGGTGGTGGCTCTGCTTGGGGGAGGGCGGGTGGCAGGTGCTGGCCCAGGGAGGGAGCCGCACGGCCCCTAACGCGCATCCCCTCCAGGGCCCATGGGTGGCACCGCGGCCTCCACGCCAGCCCCTGGCCCCGACCCCGAGAGCTCGGGGACCACGTTGAAGCCTGAGCCCTGCATGGCCTCACCTTCCTGCTCAGGGTCCAGTGTCGCCTCCCAGGTAAGGAGGCAGGGCACGCAGGGCTGGGGGCACTCAGCCAGGCGCCCCTCGGAGCTGCCTCTGCCCAGCGCTGCGCACGCGTGGGTAGGGAGAGCGGGACTGTGGCCGATGCCGGGAGAGTCCTGGTGACCACGTCCATCCTCATGAGGGGACCCCATCCCATCCGAAAGGTCCCCCCAGGGCAGTCTTCCTCTCCTGCAGGCTCCCCATCCTGAGGGAGGCCCCCCAGGGAGGCCAGCATCCTCATGCTTCTCTGTCCCCCCGCAGGCCTCTGGGCAGCTGGACGACCCCCTGGCCCCCGGCCACTTGGAGTTCAAATTTGAGCCTGAGGACTTTGCCTTCCCCTCCACGGTCCTGAGCCCCCAGGCTGGCCTCGGAAGGGCCCTGTGCCAGGAAGCCTGGTGTGCGCTGGCCTTGGCTTAGGCCCCTGGCACCCACAGGACCCACTTCACTGCCCGCTTTGCTCCAGCACAGAGATCTCCAGGCACCCCCGCCAGAGACACTGGAGCCCGCAGGACCTTGAGGCACCAGGTGTCGCTCAGCACGGCGGCAGGCGGGTCCAGGGTGGGCGGCAGGCCCGAGGGAGGGCTCCACCCCCGAGTGGCCAGGGCCCCCAGTGCTGTGCCAGGCCCCAACACGCCTGGCCGCTGCTGCCCGGGTGGCCCGCTCCAGTCCTGCCCCGGCTCAGTGCCCAGTCTGCGGCGCCCTCAGGCCGTGCCCCGGTGGGCTGTGCTGTGGCCGCGGCCTGGGCTGAGAGGAGCAGGTGCGTGCTCCCCCCACCTGCAGCCGGAGCGCTGCCCAACCTGTGTATTTATTTGGACTGTTTCCCCAGGGGCAGTACAGGACCTGGGCCTGACGGGATCTGTGTGTCGTGAACATTTCTGACCCACAGAGCAAGGCCTCCGGGCCCGCTTCTGCCCCACATGGAGGCTCACGGAGAGGCGGCCGCATGTCCTGGCTTGCCCGGGACAGTCCTGGTTTAGTTGTTGTCCCGGCAGGATCACTAACGACACCCCCTTTCACTCGCAAAAGCCAACCCTTCACAGTTGGTTCTGCCAGCTGGCGGGAGGCAATAGGGAGTGGAGGGGAGTGGGGCACATCCTGCAAAGAAAGAGCCACTCTCACCTCTGTCAATTGCCCCCTTTCGCCACAATCCTGGCACTGAGTGGGCTGCGCCTCCTGCGCCTCCTGGAGGGAAACAAGCCAGGTGGCAGCTCACCGGCGGGGCTGGCCCAGGAGTGCAGGTGGCCGCGCAGGAGACCCCAGGAGCCGGGCGGGGCCACCCATGCACCCCTGCCCGCCCCAGGTCCCGCGGCCGCTGATTTTTCCAGAAAAAACAGAAATTGGATTTATTTTTTCATGTGACGTTTCCCAATTGAAAGTTCCTTTCTCGTGGCTCCCTATTTGATTAAAAAATCTTTTCAACATTGTGAGCCAAATAAAAAAGCTGGGACCAAGCACCCTGTCTGAAGCTTCCCTTGGGCATCTGAGAGCAGCCGTGCCCGGAGGAAGTCGCTCCTCGGCTCCCCCGGCTCACTTCCCACAGGGCGTTGTCTTTTTTTCTTTTATAAAGATTTGTTTTATTTATGCACACGAGAACTGGGGTGCAGGCCGGATGTGTGGGGTGGGAGGACTCCCCAGAGACAGAGTGGGGAGCAGAACAGGCAGATCCACTGAGACACACTGCTGAGGGGGCAGCGGGGAGACAGGAGAGGTCTGCAGCGCCCTGAGGGTTGTTCCCTGGCTGGGGATCAAACTCGTGCTGCAGCGGCTGCGGACAGCTTCATAGGTTGTGTCTTAACCCCTTGCGCCACCAGGGAGGCCTCCTTTTTTCTTTTTTCTTTTTTTTTAAAAGATTTATCTATTGATTGATTGATTGATTTATACATACATGCATACAAGCACTGGGCACAGTCAGAAGCGCGGGAGGGAGAGAGGATTCCCCAGAGCCAGAGCAGGGAGCAGAGCAGGCAGAAGGACCGAAGGACACTGCTGAGGGGAGCAGCGGGCGGCAGGAGAGGTCTGCGCGCCATGCGGGACCCTCCTCCGGTGGCCGGGGAGCAGCCGGGGATCGAACCGGCGCCGCAGAGGCCGCGGGCAGCTTCGCAACCCAGCGCTCAACCGCTGCGCCACCCGGGAGGCCCTCCTTTTTTCTTTTAAAACAAATGGCATGGAAATAAGACAGGCTTACAGAAAATCTGCATGACCAAGGCCTTGAGTGTTCTGTCCTCTCCCGGTGTCTTGGGGTTCCCTGGACCCGGGCTGCCCGCCAGGTGACCGCTGGTGCAGAGGACGGCCCTTGGGGCGAGGCTCTCCTGAAACACGTCCCTGGAGGCGAGGCTACTGCCGAGCTGCCCGGGGCCCTCAGGCGTCAGCAGGACTGGAGGAGGCTCCTGGACACTCTGACCGCACGGGGGAGCTGGGACTGGGGTGATGGCCGGGCCTGTGTCCCCAGGCGGTCTTAGGCCTCTGGTTGGGGGCAGGGGGCACAAGGCCCTAGCCGGCCCCCGGGGTGGGGCACTGCCTCTCACCAGCTGGGTCCACAGGAGTCATCAGCTCCATGCCACGGTCCCCACCTGGGAAGGGGGCTCCCAAGTGCCCACGGCATAGACGCCCAGATCTTCATGACCCCAAGGGCCAGTTGAATGCGGAGCCCCAGGGCCTGCGGGCAGTCAGCGACCGGGCTAGGCGGGGAACCCGTGGGCTCACCAGCGCCGGGCCCTGCGCAAGCACGCTGGGCTGCACGTGGCTGGGCCAGACAGCGGAGGACACCCTGTGGGTCCAGGCTGGCCAGTGCGACGTGGCCAGCACTTTGAGCACGTGGACGGGCAGGGGAGACGGGCCCAGAGCAGCGCCCGTGGGTGGCCACCCTCCAAGCCCATAGGTGGGGTAAAAGCTTGCCTAGCTGGGGAGGGCAGTGCCCCCTTCCTCCTTGTCCAGTCCCAGACCCGGGAGGCCCCGAGTTGAGAGGCAGTGACCACCAGGCCTTCCCGAGCCTGACCCACCTAGGACAAGGGTGGCTCCACCTGCCAGGGGCCTCTCGAAGGCCACCCAGTCCCTTCTCAGAGGAGACCGGCCAGCCAGAAGGTGGTGGCGGGCTGGGGTGGCCAGGGCAGGGCAGTCTACCTCGGAGCCCCGCCCCCACCCGCTGTCCCCACCTGGAGTGGCGGGCCCCTCAGGCCTCGGGGGCAGCCCGGGCCTGCACGTCCCCAGGACATGGAGGCGCCAACCACAGGGGCTTCCTGGAGGCGTCCAGGGGTGGACAGGGCAGACAGCGTCCCCCGAGATGGAGAGGAAGCGGTACGGACGCCCGTCCCTAGAGGGGCCACCCAGAAGCGGGAATCAGCAGAGAGGGAGGGCAGACTTCCGCCCTCGCTTTGTCGTCGGGACGGCCAGGATGCGGGAGCGGCGGCCGGCTCGGCAGGGGCCGGGCGCTAAATTTAAGCCTTTCTCCCTGATGGCCTCTGCGGCGCCGGAAGCTGTCAGGACCCAAGCCTTAATATAGCCGCCGGCACCCCCTTCCTGCCCCTCCTCCTCCGGCCAGCCCACCCCCCACTCCGCCCAACTGGTCACGAGCAACCCCTGAGCCCAAGGCCGCCAGACAGGCAGCGGGACAGGCTCAAGCTCTGAGCCCGAGTGGATGCCGGGGCTGAGAGGGCGAGGCGCAGCCCTGGCCCTGGGTGGTCCCCTCCCTGCTGCAAGTGTCCCCCCGGAAGGGAGAGGGCCCTGGCCAGGACGTGGAAAACCTGAGCGCCCAGGCCCACGGGTGGGACCCGCACAGTCAGAGACCCTCTCCCCCGGCCAGGCGCGCGGTGGCTAGGGGTGAGCTCAGACCCAGGGGCCCAGCCGTCCTGTTTCTCCGGTCAGGGGCATTGCTGCTGCCCAGGCCAGGTGCGCGTTTACCCCCCTGGGCCCCTTGGGGGCATCACCTGGCGCTGCCCTGCCCAGGTTACCCCCAGAGCTGCCGCCGCGTCCAGCACAAGAACTGGCTGGGCTCGGGCCTCCCCTTGAGCTGCACAGAGGACAGAGCCACCGTGGGGGCCGGGGTACGGGCCGGGGCCGGGGTGCGGTCTGGGGTCTCACTGAAAAGCAAAGTGCTAGTGAAGAGGGAAGTTGCTCTCTGGGGGACCAACAGGGCACCAGCTTTTATTTGACCAAATAAGGGCCTCTCTGGAGAGGAGCGGGGCCCCTTACCCCCGCCACCAGCACCCCGGCTGCCAGGCAGGGAGCCGTTGTGACAGCCCCTGTGTCTCCTCTGCCACACGCCGGACACTTGGTGACGGCTCAGGGGCTGCGGGTCCCAAGGTGTGGGTTGCCCTGGCCTGGAGGGGGTGCAGGGGCAAGGCATGGGGGTCCGATGGAGGAAGGGGCCAGTGGTAGCCCCTGCCAGCCTCTCCCAGTGGGGTGGACCCTCCCTCAGCTCCCTACTTCTGGAGGGGCATCCATTTCAGGGCTCTCGACTCTGGGGTCCACCTCTGCCCCTCCCAGAGTGGAGGTAGGTGAGATCCAGGTGCTCCCCGTAGGGCCAGCCCAGCATGCCACAGGGAGGCTCTCTCTCACATGGTACCCTCGCCCCCTCATGCCCCTCAACAGTGCCCACCTGCCTGCCAGGTGGGACCCCCACAGTAGGCTCCGGGCTCCGCTTTCACTTGGCCTGACCAGGCGTGTAGTCGGTGCTCTCAGAGGAGGGTCCTGGCCCCCATGGGCACCTCCACTGACCCATGAGAGAGGCCAGAGGGGTGCCCCTGGGTGCGATGTCACAGGCAGACCCCGGAGTGCCCTGTCCTTTGCCCCACGTGCACCTCGGCTCCGAAGAGGAGGAGACTGGTTCGGCCGCAACCCGGGGGTGCAGGGGCCAGGCGCCTCTTGGGCAGCCCCAGGCCCGCGCGGCCGCCAAGCTGTCGGCACGGGTGGCTCCAGCCGCCTTATTTATTATCTGATAAGGGGCTCTCAGCCCCAAGCAGGACAGCATCTGGCCGCGGGAGGCGGGGGACGGGAGGCCGGGCCTCCAGGCTGGACTCCAGGGCAGACACGGAGGAATCTGGACGCTTCCTTCCCCCAACCGCCTTCCTCTCTGCTGCGGAGCTGGAGGCCAGCACCAGGAGCACCCACGGCCTCCCGCCGGCGACCTGCACCCCCTTTCTGCCAGACTCTGCTCCCCCACCCCTGGGAGCCTCCTCCCCACCCCACTGCTGCTGGAGCACACCCTCCCTCGCCCCCCTGCCGCTGCTTGGCCAGAGCACGGACTTTCCATGATGCAAATCGGGGCCTGCTCCTGGCTTCTAAACACTCCGCGCCCATGGCCACAGTGCCCCCACGCTGCCCAGGGCTCCCCTCTCCTGGTGCCTGTGTCCACGCTCAGGGACGGGGCCTGGCCAGCATCCAGGCCCATCAGGCTCTGGGCCTCCGTGCGCTCTCTTCCCTGGCATGCCTCTCCCTGGCCGGGCGCACAGGCAAGGCCCTGGGCAGCTCGAGGTCAAAGCCCGCAGCATCCACCCGGTGGGGCCACCACGGGGCTGTCCAGGCACAGTGGAGCAGCCCAGGTGCCCCCCAGGGCC